CAAAGAAGTTTGCCCGGGCCACACACACACCCCCTCTTGCTAAACTTCCTTCCCACGTGGTGACATAAACAATGTCTTATTTTGTTTTATTGAGACAGGGTTTCCCGGTGTAGCTTTGGCTGTCCTGGAACTTACTCTATGGAACAAGCTGGCCTTGAACTCACAGAGATCCATCTGCCTCTGCCTCCTGAGTGCTGAGATGAGAGTGTGCCACCACCACCCCACTTTGAGGGATGTCATACCCTGAGACGTGTCCTCTAACACCTGCTGGCCTGGCACAGTCCTCAGCAGCTACTCCAGTCACAGGAAACTCTCATTGGTAAACACTTCTCTCCTGGTTCCACAGAGATGTGCTGAGATGAGGGTTTGAGCAGAATTCTTTCTTTCTTTCTTTCTTTCTTTCTTTCTTTCTTTCTTTCTTTCTTTCTTTCTTTCTTTCTTTCTTTCTTTCTGTTTTGTTTTTTCCAGACAGGGTTTCTCTGTGGCTTTGGAGGCTATCTTGGAACTTGCTCCTGTAGACCAGGCTGGCCTCGAACTCACAGAAATCCACCTCCCTCTGCCTCCCAAATGCTGTGCCACCAACGCCCGGCTGGAGCAGATTCCTTTCTTAATGTTGGCCACTCACCATGGAGGAGACAGGGCTAGGAGATCCAAGAATAACCTGAACAAGCAAAGTTCTTCATTTAGGAGCCAGAGGCAGGTGACTCTTTGAGAACTTGAGGCCAGCCTGCTCTATGGAGAAGTGAGTTCCAAGCCTGCCAGGGCTACACACTAAGACCTCACCTGGTCCTCCTCCAGTACCAGGCATGCATATGTCCACGCAGGCCAACACTCACACACGTAAAATGAAAAGAAACAAATTCTTGTGTTTTTTTAATTTTATGTGCATTGGTGTTTTGCCTGAATCTATGTCTGGGTAAGGGTGTCAAATCTTGTAGTTAAAGAGGTCAGTGAGATGTTCTGTGGGTGCTGGGAACCCAGGTCTTCTGTAAGAGCAGCCAGTGCTCTTAACCACCTAGCCATCTCTCCAGACCTTGCTTTTTTTTGGTTTTTTGAGACAGGGTTTCTCTATGTAGCTATGGAGCCTATCTTGGTAGTCGCTCTGGAGACCAGGCTGTCCTCGAACTCACAGAGATCTGCCTGCCTCTGCCTCCTTAGTGCTGGGATCAAAGGCATGCACTGCCAACACCCTGTTCAGACTTTGCTTTTGTTTGTTTGTTTGTTTGTTTAAGAAAGAAAAAATAGCAGGGCGGTGGTGGCGCATGCCTTTAATCCCAGCACTTGGGAGGCAGAGGCAAGTGGATTTCTGTGAGTTTGAGGCCAGCCTGGTCTACAGAGTGAGTTCTAAGGACAGGCTTTGAAGCTACACAGAGAAACCCTGTCTCAAAAAAAACTAAAATAAGCAAGCTAACAACAACAACAACAAAAATACCAAATGAAAAAAAAAAAAAAACCACAAAATGGAATTTTTGATTTAATTAGAGGAGTCTGTCAAGATACATTCCATTTTAAGTCAGAAAGACCTTGAAAAGGTACAGAAGTTAAAAAAAATGTAGCTTATGACTGCAATGTACTTGAACAACTCAAATGTGCTCAGCTTTAAGTTAGATTTTTACAATTCTGTTATGTGTCTACATATGTATTCATGTGGACATTCCCCATAGTGAAGCCATAAAGCCATTTAAACAGGGAGTGGGACTAAGCCCATGTGGACACAAGAGTTTTCCAAGTCACTAATGTCTGTACGTGCTGTGACTCTGTATTCCTGGAGGCACAAACCCCATCATTTTGCTCTTTACTGTGAATTTCTGTAACAGTTGCTGCTGCCCGCCACTAGATGGTGGTAGACACCAAACTTGAAAAATCCAAGACAGTATAAGATGCACTCCTGAGTGCTTATGTGTTTATCTCTCCTGGCACATTTTGTTTAGTTGAGGCAGGGTCTTATGTAGCCCAGGCTGGCCCAGAATTCACTACATCTTAGTCTAAGGTACGTTCTGATCCTCTACCCACCATGGCCCCAAGAGCTGAAATAATCAAATAAATTTCCATGCCCAGTTCTAGGTGTACCGGGCAGCGAGCACAGGGCTTCATGCATGTTATGCAAACACTCTCCTTGGTTATATCCCCAGCTCTATCTTTCCCCCTGATTTTCACTTAATGTTTGACAAGTTAAAAAAAAAAGTGTCTCTACAAAGCAGTGGTTAAAAGCACCAGTTGCAGACATGCTCTGGATGTGAACCAGTCCAGCTGATGTGGACACCCCCCGTCTCTTCAACAGAGTCTGCCAACCAGCTGCTTCCCTGTTGCCTGAATTCCCTTTTTGCTTTTGACTAGCATTTCAGCCTTCTTGGGTCCCTAACTTCGTCCCAAAGTCAGCAGGAAGTAGCACGGGAAAGAATACGTCGCCCATTTTCCCTGGTTGAAATGCTAAGTCAAAATAAACTTCCTTACATAAGGGATGCCAGTATCTCTCACTCGCTGATGGGGATACTGGAAAGACAGCAATTCCATGATTGGAATCTCCAAAAAGAAAATGGGGGAATGAAGGGACCAGCTCCCCATTTCGGCAGCCATGACAGTAACACGTGCTAGCCAGACACTCCCCTTACTCTGCCCTATAAGATCTCTATGCCGTGGCTTCTCGGTGTCTTTTCCCAACCATCTGCCATGGTGGGTGGATGAAGGGCCCGAGCTAATGGAGTTAGCTCCTTAAACAACTGCAATAAAAGACTCATTGCTTTTGCATTGGAAAAAAAAAAAAAGCACCAGTTGCTCTTGCAGAGGTCCCAGGTTCAATTCCCAGGACCCACTGGGCAACTCATAACCAACCATAACACCAGTCCCGGGAGTTCCAGTGCCTTCTTCACATAGGACAGGCAAAAGGCTCATACACATAAGATAAATAAATCTAAGAAAATTCAATGAATATATTCATTGAGTATAATATAATATATTCAATGAGTATATTCAATGAATATATTCATAGTTTTGATACATGCTGGAGTTGCGACACTAAGCTGTCTTCATATGCCTTGCCCCACACCCTTCCCTGAGAGTGAAAAGACTTGAAATATGCTTTCTTGGAGATTTTCAAGTGTTACCTGAATATCAGTCATTGCTGTTGTTTCTGTGGCAGTGGCGGAGGTGGCTGTTGCTATATAGTTTGAGACAGGCTCTGACTATTATGTAGCCTTGACTGACCTGGACTAGCGTGTAGACCAGGCTGGCCTGGAACTCACAGAGATCAACCTGTCCTTGTCTCTGCTGGGCTGAAATTGATGCCACAGGATGTGGCGATACCCGAGCTAGGAGCCCCCTGCCATGGACAGCTGCCCCTGCCTCCCGAGTGCTGGGATTTAAAGGTGCATTTCACCAAGCCCACCCCGTGTTTATGTCTGCACTGCTGGACTGTAACCCGGGATGGAGTACAGGCTAAGCAAGTGTTCTACCAGTGAGTCACTTTGCAGCTGTCTGCGCTGATATTTGATTTTTTTTTTTATTTTTTATTTTTTTTTCCGAGACAGGGTTTCTCTGTGTAGCTTTGGAGCCTATCCTGGCACTCGCTCTGGAGACCAGGCTGGCCTCGAACTCACAGACAGCCACCTGCCTCTGTCTCCGAGTGCTGGGATTAAAGGCGTGCGCCACCAACGCCCGGCTGAAGAAGGACTTTTTAGATAGGGAATAGGGAGTAAAGCATGTTTCATTGACGACCTTCTTCAGGCCCACGATGATGTCAGGTGACTCCCGTCACATGTTGCGTTCAATAGCGTCCACCGTGTGTTGGTGGTCAGTCTGGCATGGACAAAACAGTTAGGCCGCCAGGTGTGTAACACAGCGAGTGGTATCTAACACAGAGATTTAATTTCATTGGCTTGCTGGTGTCAGTGCATGCTGTGTATGCACGAACACACACACACACACACACACACACACACACACGAGAAGGCCATCAGACCCCAAGGACCTGGAGTTACAGGTGGTTATAAACTGCTTCGTGAGGGACCTGGGAGCTAAACTCAGGTCCTCTGGAAGAACAGCAAGCACTGCTAACCACTGAGCCACCTCTCCTCCCTTGTCACACGACACTTACCAGTGACAGTACACATTAGGTTCCTGGTTTATTTATTTATTTATGCTATACTGTGGGTTTTTCTCATTACATGTGTGGGCGTGTGAGTATTCCTGCAACTGTAAACATGTGGGCGTCAGATGACATCTTGCAGGTTGCAGACTGGCACAACACGGATACCAGGTACACATACACACCCTGGGGATTGAACTTGGGGTGTCACGTCTGTCAGCAAGCACCCTGACACACTGCGCCACCTCCTGGACTCAGCAATGTCTAGGCACTCGTTTTACAGTAAACCTGCAAAAAATATAGAGGGTCTTTTGCCCTAGTTACTCTTCTATGCTGCGATAAAACATCATGGCCAAGGCCACTTACGGAAGAAAGGGTTTACGGTTCCGGGTTGGTAAGAGTCTATGACGGCAGAGCTGACGCAGCAGGCAGTAGATGGTTGGAGCAGGCACTGGGAGCTCACACTTTGAACTTTAAACGGGAAGCAAAAAGAGGGGGCTGGAGAGATGGCTCCCAAAGGTTAAGGGCACTGGCTGCTCTTCCAGAGGTCCTGAGTTCAATTCTCAGCAACCACAGGGTGGCTCACAGCCATCTGTAATGAGATCCGGTGCCCTCTTCGGCCTGTAGGCAGAGCACTGTATACATAACACATAAATATTTTTTAAAGATTTATTTATTTATTTGTCGTGTATACAGTGTGTGCCAGAAGAGGGCACCGGATCACATTACAGATGGTTGTGAGCCACCCTGTGGTTGCTGGGAATTGAACTCAGGACCTCTGGAAGAACAGCCAGTGCCCTTAACCTCTGAGCCATCTCTCCAGCCCCAAATAAATATTTTTTAAAGAGTACACTGGAAATAACACATGGCTGCTGGAATCTCAGAGTCCATCCCCAGTGACACACTTACTCCAGCAAGGTCACACCTCCCAAGGCTCCTCAAACAGGGGTAAGAACTAGAGACCAAGTATTCAAACTCATGAGACTAATGGAAAACACCATGAAACGGCACAATTGCAAGCCTAATGCAAAACACCTACGAAACCCTATGGCTGGGGGAAAGATTTGAAAGAAGGGGCCGAAGAGCTGGAGATCAGGAGGTTTGCTGTGTGATTGTGTCTGCCAAAGCCAGATGGTACACCACTGTGTGATTGTGTCTGCCAATGTCAGATGGCACACCACTGTGTGATTGTGTCTGCCAATACCAGATGGTACACCACTGTGTGATTGTGTCTGCCAATACCAGATGGTACACCACTGTGTGATTGTGTCTGCCAATACCAGATGGTACACCACTGTGTGATTGTGTCTGCCAATACCAGATGGTACACCACTGTGTGATTGTGTCTGCCAATACCAGATGGTACACCACTGTGTGATTGTGTCTGCCAATACCAGATGGTACACCACTGTGTGATTGTGTCTGCCAATGTCAGATGGCCCACAACTGTGTGATTGTGTCTGCTAATGTCAGATGGTACACAACTGTGTGATTGTGTCTGCCAATACCAGATGGTACACCACTGTGTGATTGTGTCTGCCAATGCCAGATGGCACACCACTGTGTGACTGTGTCTGCCAATGCCAGATGGCACACCACTGTGTGATTGTGTCTGCCAATGTCAGATGGCACACCACTGTGTGATTGTGTCTGCCAATGCCAGATGGTACACCCACCAAGTCTCACCAACACGACTGCCCCAATGCGAGTGGAACAAGGAACACACATAGACCTGTCAAAGTGGACAGGGATAAGCCCAGGAGATCTCAGCCCTACACAAAGAACTACAGACAACTGCAGAATTCTAGGTTGACTCAAACTGGACAGTGTCTTTTTCTTGGCCTTCTGAGGACTGGCTGAGCTTATAGGCAAGTGTAAC